TTTATTTTCAGACACAAGCCAAGATGGCCAGAGTTGATGTGGCTGACACGGGCCGATTCGGGCTCTTGTCAACACTAAGAAACGAGGTTCAGTTCTAATGAGCCGTTTGCCGCTCTAGCTGGATTGGCATCCGTAAACATGAGGCATCGAGGACTTGCCACTAGTTACCAAATATTGGGGAATAAATTTCTTGTTATTATAACTCAGTATTCACGTTATTATCAATTTTCTCGATAAAAAAATATTAATACTCTTTCTAAATTCATTAAGAACCAAATTGCTTGTTATTTATATCTAAATTATTGTGGAAAACGTCCATATCTTTCATTTTTTTTGACATTTTCACCTTTATTTCCGTCTTTTATTGAGCAAAAAGTCATTTTAATTTATTTTCTCAATTAAAAATTGTGAAATAACGAACATACTATTCTCTTTAAATAAAAGAAAAAAAAAAGTTAATTGCAACCATAGTCCCAATTAGTCCCAAATAAATTATTAAAAGAGTAATTAGTACATAATGTCCCACATCTTTCACCATTGTTGCGAAAAACGTCCATACCTTTAATTGTTTTTGACATTTTCACCATTAATTACACATTTGATTGTGCAAACCATCATTTTCATCCAATTTCTCAATAAAGAACTGTGAGATAATGAATATATTCTCCTATTTAAATATTTTTTTTAAATTTCTAATTCTTTAATAATTTATTTGGGACTCGTTTTCACTTTTTAAATTTGTTTACTTTTTAAATAAATTTAATTGGGACTCATTTGCCTTTTTTTTTTTTTATAAAAAATAATTTTTTTTAACTTATTGGGGACTCATTTTGTAATTTTTTAAAAAAAAATTGGAACTATGGTTGCAATTAATTGTTTGTTTTTTTATTTAAATAAGATGGTATATTTGTTATTTCACAACTTTTTATTGAGAAATTTGATGAAAATTGATAGAAACGATAGTTTGCATAATCAAACGTGTAATTATGGGTGAAAATACCAAAAAAATAAAAGGTATAGATGTTTTTTACAATAATAGTGAAATGTAGGGATATTATGTGCTAATTACCTTTTTACTAATTTATTTGGGATTCATTTGTGCTCTTTAAAAAAATTTGAGACTATGATTGCAATTAATTTTTTTTTTCCATTTCGTTTTATTTAAAGAGAATGGTATAATAGTCATTTTACGATTTTTAATTGAGAAAATGAATGAAAAAGACATTTTGCACATTGAAATGTGGAAATAATGGTGAAAA